TCATGAAAAATAAAACTCAGGTGAATATATGATTTCATGTGTGTGGCTCCAACTGTGTTTGGAGTATCTCATTGCACAACTTCAAATAGAGATATGTTGGACACTTCACCTGTTTCTAAAATTTGTACTACAAATAAAGGCAACCTTCGGAAACCAGCATATGTATCCAAATAGGAATAAGAGTAAAGGCATTGTAAAGAGGGAAGGCATTGCCTTAATGTGATACAGTTCATGCCAAGAAGCAGGAATTCCCTGAGGCTCAGAAGAGAGGTCTACTCAGCAGAGTTATGCACTTGAACTTCAATATTTTCCAACTATTGGTGGTGGTGGTGGTCAGCATCAGATATTAGTTTAAATAATGCTTTATATCTTGCCATGTTAAACTGGAAATAAGACTGAAGAGAAACTCCCTCTCAAATCTCTTCCTCAATGTCTCTCACAGTACCTAATCATAGGACCCTGAAGTCCAAAGAATGTTTGTACAAGCATGTGTGTCTCTCAATGAATACATTGTCCTTGAATAATACTCAGGGATTTTGTGTGGCTAAAAGTTGATGATCTGGGTCTCAAAGAAAAAACTAACAGTTAATGTAAACTCTATAGACACTCTGTCATAAAGGACAAAATTATTCTGTTAGTTTGAAATTTCATTAGCAAAATAATCTGAACAAAATTTTCTAAAGCAATGTCATAATACATCCCTGCTATTCCCAGACTTTGCTGTTTTCTGTTTCACATACAATTAGAATTAATAGCTTTAAAGATAACAGGTCATTGGCATTCAGTATTGTCATAATGTTGAACCACCACTAGATTTATTTAGGTTCAAATTCTTTTCTTTCACCTCAAAAAAAGTCCATTTCCTGAGCCATCATCCCCCATCATCCTGCCTTTCTCCAGCCTTATAAATCACAACTGTGTTTTCTAGTTCAGTGGAGTTACCTGCTCTAGAGATTTCTTAAATTGGGGTAAAATTTTATCTCTTTCTTTCTGATCTGCCTCATTTTGGCTTAGTAACTATGCTGTACAAGGCTCTCTAGAAAACACACTTATCCCTTTTCTAGAACTTGGGTTTCATAATATAGTCATAAAGCAAGACAGAATGGATGTGTTTTTCATAATTCTACAGCTAAAGATTGGAGCACAGAGAGTTAGGGAAGCATCTCGCAATGATGTCATCTCCTGCACAGTAGTGTCCCCATTCTAAAATTTCTTCCACTATAAAAACATGAGATCCTGTCAGCATTCATTTCAGCACATCCAGTAAAGCCCTCTAACACTCAAAATTATTCTAGCATAGCCTAGTGACTGTATTTTGAAAATCACTAAAGTATCACAGTGAGCAAAAAAATGAAGTGAGTTTTCAGACATCTCAATTTGTACTTAATACAAAGCTATCTTTTTCACATTGTTTCACACGACTGGAAACAAGCTGTGGCTATAAGTCCAGTCCCTCTTGCAGGTCATGTAGAATCAATCCAGTCACACAGTCTCTGGGCCCTGAGTGGTACCTGTATTGGCCTTATTATCTTTACAATAAGAAGACTGAATGAAACTGAGAACAAATATTACTTACAGATCAACATTCCATAATTCCTTAATTCTACCTCAAGGAAGATCCAACTAAGCATCAAGCAGGTCTGGTATACTTTCCATGGTTAACACATCTGTTAGAAACACCAGTGAATCAAAAGTTGCTTCTACTATTCTCTGTAAATGGCTGGTACATTTCACTATTTTTTTAAGAAACTGCAATCAAATTATTTTCTGCTTTCAAGACTTCTCATGCAGCTTTTTCTTGATTAAAAAATGTATAGGGAAATATAAAATGTATAAGGTGGCTTTAGAAATTTGAAAAAGCCATGTTCTTATCTTTCTTATGTAAAGCAACATCTTAGTGAAACTTTTCATTCTGTGGTACAGTTATCCACTTTTATCATCAAGTAGAACAGCCAAGCAGTAGTTATAGCTTCCAACCTGGTGGTGAAATTCAATATTTTTTTCTATTAATGAACAAGTAGTGTTGGATACTTGTTAGGCCTCAGTATTGACTCTTCTGGGTCAGGTTTTCTTTTGAACAGTGGCTTCTATGCTAATAATCTAGAAGTGAAATTTAGTCAAATTCAGCATGTCTCCACTGCCATCTAGAGACCAAAGTATGGTTTCTAATATCTTGCTCCTCAGTGTGCTTTCCTTTTAACAAAAGCATACATGAGCCAAATAAAAGAGATAGAGCTTTGGAAAAATGATAATTTCCCTCTTGAAGTTTAAAGGAACAGTAAAGAGAAAAGAGCCTACACTCACTGAGGGTCAAATGACTCAAGAGAGTCAGGACACACTAGTCACTGCACCCACTGAGGGTTAGATGAGCAGCAGAGACTTATTGTACACTAGTGCTGCACCTACTGAAGGCCAAACGATGACCAGAGACTAAGAAAACACTACTCAGGGCACTTATGGAATGTCATATGACTGCCAGAGACTTAGGGTGCACTACACACCTGGGATTACAGAGTCCAACCTGCTAGATGTAGAATACTTGTACAAGATTGCTGAGGTTTCTCAGCTTTCAGCTTCACCAGGAAGGGAAGATTCCTTTTCGAGGGTACATACATCTGCAAAAGTTTTTCACTGGATATGGGAATCTAATTTTTGTTATCACCTATATACTCAAATCTGCTGGAATATGACTTGTGGGTTCAGAGTGATCTGTTACATCTTCTATTCAACTGGATATTCATAATGAAAGGATCAGTCGACCAACATTAATAGAACTTACTTCTGAATAAAATATGGTTTCTAACATTTCTATAGAAAGTGAAAAATCTTGAAATGTCTTTCTAGGACTCCCTGCCTCCCAAACTGTCCTCTGGGATACTGTGTTCAACCCATTTGGATTATCAGATTGTCTTTTGATGGCTGTGATGGCTGGTTAGAGAAAGAGAGAGCGGAGGCAAGGTAGCTACAATTAATTAAATGTAGCCAATTCATAACTCTGTCAAGAACTCCAGCTATAATAATTGTTTATAAACCAAAAGAAATAACTGTTATTCTAGACATAAAATTATAAGCCCTAGTGTAAGCTGAACTATTTCTTAAGAGCTTCAGTTCCACTATGCAGCCCATAAAGCCAGACTCAGCCATTAATCCTAAAATTGTCACTAAGACCTGAGTAACAGTGCAAAGCATCATACTTTGCCTCATGTGGTTTAGTGACAGGAACATATCTAGATTTTGTTTTTCTTGGAATCCAATGTAACTATAAATTTAAGATAATGACTTATCTTGCTGTCTTCAACCTTAAAGGATGATGAAACAGGCTAGGTAGAGGGTACATCCTTAAACTTCATCACCTTTGTGAAGAATCATACAGGAGTCTGGGCCAAAGCAAAGGAGAAAGATATAAAGTGAAAGCAGACATGCTTTCATCCTGATGTTACTCACTTTGGAGACTCAAATAAGGGATAAATGCATTTACAGAAAAGCTTTCTGGGTGCCAATTTGTTTCAGGAATTAAAATGGTGGTTAAAAGTAGATATTTTAGAACATAAGACTCTGAACCTGGTTGTTTGCTCAGGCATCACAGAATTGTATAAATTTCGATTTCTACAACCAAAAAATGGGGACCATGACCTAAAGAATCATTATGGAGACTCATAATGTCACAAATCTGAAAGTTTTGTACACAAGAGCAGATATTTAGCAAATGCTCCCGTCTTTTCTTTGGCAGTGTAAAATCTGTCAAACATCTTACTCTATAGATGTTCTGTAGCTAGACCCAAGGATATTAGTAAAGTGTGTTCTGATAATTCTGTAACAACCGCAGAATATTTTGTTTTAAAGCAATGTGTCTTAGGTTGAATATATGCAGATGACTTTCACTATAGCCTAACAATTTGCATGTCTACCTAAGGTCCAATAGATGCTGTTAATTTTATGACTACGTTTTTCAGTAGGGCAGCTTTTCAATTTGGGAAGGGAAGAACTCTACAAACTGCTATGGAGAAAGCAATCTCCTGTGTTGGTAAATAATTTGTTTGGCATAAACCACACCTACTCTGTAGATATTTTGTTGTTACTCTAAGCAGGTTCTACTTATAATTTTGTTCTCATCATTTTGTTAACCTTATTATTTAACCCATTCTCTTTTGTTCTAGATATATAAATGCAATTAGCTATTGGAAGAAGTATATGAACTTGGGGGGGGTGTATGAGAAGGACAGAGTGAGGAAGAGGGCTACCTACCTCTATGTTGTTCCTATCCCATCTATTCTGTGACCTCACAAATAGAGTAGAGGATCTCCATGGCATAAAAGCTGCACACACTTAGAGCTATAGCCCTATAAGTCAGAAGTCTGCCAGCACTGACTCGAATTAAAGCATCAGCTGTGCTCTATTCTAGAGAACTGTGCAGATTTACAGTGAAGTAGCCCCAGAATGCTCTTGTTAAAGGAGTAATTGGTAGCACTTGAACAGTTGGGAAGTGATTGGATCCAGATGGCTCTAATCTAATCAGTGGATTACTCCCTTGATAGATTCATAATGTGATTGCATTATTGGGAGAAGGTCAAGCTAGGAGGTAAGATGTTATTGACGAAGCTGGTAACTGGCAGTGTGCCCTGGAAACTTATGCCTTGTCCCATTGCCTTGCATCCTGACAGCTAGGGGCAATAAGATCAGCTGTAACACCTTTCTGCCACCTGGATAGCATTTGTCTTTCAAGCCAAAGAATTGGTCCATAAGACCTCAGATTGAAATCAACTATGAGCCAAAATAAATTCTCTCCTAAGTTGTTATCTCAAAAATTCTTATAACAGTGACAAAAATGTCTACTAACAGGAAAGATCCCTTTCCCTGTCTTTTCTTGCTTGTCTTATGGGACTGTGTTCATTTCCTTTATTCCAAGCCAAAAGTACATCATCTTTCTCATGTTTCTGTTTTCACATCTTTCTCTGTGCACAGCAGGGAAGTATTCACTACCTTTAAGAATCCTGTGATTAACTGCTTTTATAGGCAAGACAGGTGTGGTGTCAGTAGGTGGATCAATAGGTGGCAAGAGAGGAGAGAAGCTATGATGACCCTCAGCGTTCTGACCTATAAACACCTAAATGATTAACACTCAAATAAACACTGAAAAATAGCCTGAGACAACAACCACTCCCAAGATACTATGAGGTCCAGTAGGAAGCTATGCTGACACCAGTACTGAACTGCACAGGTATGAACATGCATCCAGGGCAAGGAGTGACTAGAAGACTAGATGAACCCTATCTGGGCCACAGACCCGGCAGGAGTCAGAATACTCCCATGTGGCACCTCCAGTGATCCCTGGTGAGAAAGAAGCCTAAGCCTAACACTACCACCAGAGCAGCACCATCGGGCTTGGACAAGAAACCACCTCAAGATGGCCACCTATCCAGCACCCTCAGGCCTAGGGGTCAGACTATGCCTGAGATGACACTTGCCCCCACGCCATAATGCATGAGCAGGGCATAACACTCCTGAGACCACTAGTGAGATGACATTTAGAGACCCTCGGTGTCAAAAAAAAAAAAAAAGCAAGTTGTAGAGAAATGGAAGAGAACGAGAATCTGAAGGGTGTGGACACAATGAAAAGAAGCAGAACTGGAGACTTCCTGGTAGTAAGGAAGAGCCTGGTGTTAGTAGCTAGTGATGTCATCTGGAACCATGGCAAGGTTCTTACCTGTGCTGTTTCCAGGGTCAAGACCTGCAGCAGCAGGTCTTTACTAACACAAATAGCGAAGATGAATGACCCTAGTCTGGGCTACCTCCAGGGGACATGTTAGTGTCTGAGGGCTGTGCAGAACTGGCCTCATGAGAGAACTAGCCCTGGCAGAATGAGAGCCGGAGATCTGGTCCTGTCGATCTCCTACTACAGTCTTGCAACTTTCCTGTGCAGGAAAGTAGAGTTGGCCCTGGTCGTGTGTGTGTGTTGCAGTTAGTAACCACTGAACAACTTGTCCTGCCTCTTGTCTGCAGTTTGGTAGTGAGCACAAATGGATGAGGGAGAGATGCCCTCCTCTCCTTTGTTGGCCCTCACAACCTGTAGCAGTGGGAGAACGGGTCACATGGTCATGAGAATGGGAGAACAGGCCCCATATTTCACTGATCTGAGCATTTCGAAGAGGGGAACCCTGCACCTCACCTCAGCAGCAGGGAAGAGCTGGCCCTGATTCTTGGGGTTGCTGGTGAGCCAGCCCTGAGGACCTTAGAGTGGGAGAACCATCAGGCTGGTCAGCTCAGATACCTCTCAGGCCCAGATCCAGGGCTTTGAATTAACCCACCCCAACATCTACCCCATCTATGAACTTCTGGAATACATAAATGGACCAGCCTTGTGGATCCAAAAATACAGGATCTCCATTATACAGTGCAACAAGAGCATATCCTAGAGGAGTCCCACTGAGGCTCCAGTTTTGATAGAGTAGTAAAAGCTAGAGGCCTCATACCAGACTAACACATCACTGCAATGAACACTTGCAAAACAAAAACGTGTGAACAAAAAGGTATACTGTAGAACACACTTGAGTTTCCACAAGTAGGGTTGTTTTTTTTCTCTTGAGGGCAGGTTACAAGAGTGAAAGGCAGGTAAAAGAGAGGGGGAGATAAGTGGTATTGAGGTACATTATGTGAAACTCACAAAGAGCCAATAAGAAGTTTAAAGAATCATGTGATTAAATTTGGTATATTTCAGAATAACTCAGGCAACTTGCTCAAGACTTTTAATTACATTTTCCATATTCATTTTTGGATGATTAATTTATACAATACTATACATATTCTTGTGGATTATGCCTAGCATTCTACCTCAACCTACATAATTTTTAGAATGGTACTATTCTAATAATTTATCTATGATAATGTTTGCATGATATATATTATACTATATTATTTATGAAACCTAATTAAACAAACTAAAATCACTTAAACATGGCATGGCAAAAGGGAATGTTTCAATCACTGAAACAAAATACCTAAACAAGGCTGCAAAGAGGCAGAAAATATCCCCAAATGTGCATGTGTATATAATATATAATTGGTGATCATTTCCTGTTTGTAGCCACTTGACTCTCTACTTTCCTAGGCTTTCAGAAAGGCAGAATATTATGACAAGGACTGTGTGACAGGTCATCTCCTCGGAGCCAGGCCCCCAAAAAGCTGGTTGTTGTTGTTGTTCTTGTTCTTATTTTTAACATCAAAATTCATCTTTAAAATTCACTGTCTTATGGATCCGAAAATTGGTTTCTTCATTTGTGATGTCAGAGTTGTCATGATTCAATCATTTCCCACAAGCCTCACTTCTCATTACTATTATATTAGAAACTAAATTATATATTATATATACATACACATTTTGGGGATATATCTTATCTATTTCATAATACAGTCATCATTACCCTAAATGTTATCTGAAGCATTCTGAAGAGAGAGAAAGAGAAAGAGAGAGAGAGAGAGAGAGAGAGAGAGAGAGAGAGAGAGAGAGAGAGAGGGAGAGAGGTGTTAGATCAATGATTTGATATTGTTTACCTCTTCCATTTCACGAAGATACAGACTTCTTCAGGAAGAGAACTGTAGGTGCTTTTCTAGCTACTTTAACTGCAGAAAATACAATGAAGTTGCTTAGGACACAAACCTCACAACTCTATATGGTAATGTTATCATCTCTGTTTCAACTGCTTGAACCTTGCATAAGAATTTGTCTATATCTCTATCTACAGTTCATAATTTACTTGGTTGTTTTAAAATATTTTTGTAGTGCACACTATACTTATATGTATTATAATAAAATTAATTATCATGAGTGTTTATAATTAAGTTGTAATAAATATCATATAAAAACACAAACATATATTACATCCATGAACTGAGGCCACTTCAATATCAAGAAGCATAAAAACAAGCTATTAAGTCAACCACAGCCACATATACAATGAAATTATATCAACTAGCCAGAATCTAGACTTCAACATGGAAGAAGAATACTGACTATGGCAATAGTAAAGAAAACAGGCAAAGGAACAAAGAGCTAATAGAAAGGAAAATAAAAACCAAAGAGAAGACCCCTGTAACTGAGCTTTTTCTATGCTTTTCCCAGCTTCCAAATACAGATGTGTAGGCTATATTTTTATGCCACTGGCCTTATAATTAGGCACTGTTTACCACTGGCTCATAACTCAATTATTCCATGTATATTATTTTGAGTCTGCCGCATGGTTGGTTACCTCCCCTCACTTTCAAACATCCAACTTCCTCTATGTTTTGCTAGCAAATCCTCCCACACTTGACTTATTTCCAGAGTCAAGTCTCTTCCTATAAGTTCCAATTTCTACTTCCTGCTTCTACTATAGGCTATCAGTTTTTAATAAACCAGACAGAAGGTGATTGTGGGACTGTTTACAAAACACCCAGGCAGGTGATGTTTAACAATACCAAAGTCCAGCCTGAAATCAGATCTCTGTCAGTTAAGAAATCAACAAAGACAATCTTTACACAAAGCATAATAACATTACTCCAACATCTCCAGTTTTAATTCAATAAAAGGCTCATTCTCTAATATCAATAGATTATATACAGTAAGAACAATTATAAAAGCTATCAGGTAAGAATTATATTCACATTGTCAACCTTGGAGAAAGTGCTCTACTATTTATCCTGTTTGATGAGTCCAAAGTTTTGTACCTAATTCACTTTCTATCATAACTTACATTTATCAACCTAAAAATATCATCTTAGACCCTAAATTATCTTAATTCTTTAACAATTTAAGCTTAATTGTGAGACTATTGCTATCTAGTCTTCAACTCCATCAGAGATTTGAGAAGGATAAATATACCTGAGTCAACTGGAGGTGCATAGCAAGCGGCTTCCAAAACTATAAAAATGGCTTCCTCAAGAGTCATACAACATTTTTCTGCAATGCTGAAATGTCATCTTCAGCCTTCTGGGCAAGTATATCTGACAGGCTTTTCTGTAAAGCAGGAAATTTTGAAGGACATGCCTACTATGTTCTTGCTAAGCTCAGCAGTCAACTTCTTCAGTGTCCTGATTTTTCAGTTTGGACAGCATGCTGTCATTACTTGAGGCAATGGCAGTTTCTGTGGCTCCCTAGCCACATAAAGGCAAACTCTTTATAGAAGTTCTTCTATGTTCATTATCTTCCATGAAGTGGAATGGGAGTGCTTCCTGGAGCTAACATGTCTCACTGTCAAAAGAGCTTTCATTAATGAAATGTCATTAAATGCCATTTTCTGTAGATCTTTAAGATTTTTGAAGACTCTCTATCTGAATAGGTAAAATTACTTGTTTCTATATATTTCCAATGGCTCAACCTAGAAAACATTTCTTCAATTAACTATACTAGCATTTAACATGACCATAAGTTTTATGAACTAACTACTAACTTGCATGTCTTAATTTTTCTAAACAGTTTGTGATAGCAGCTTTCAAAAGGACTAGAACTTCACGTTGCATTTTTAAATATATTACAAGGGTACCTTAAAAAAAGAGTTGATACATATACAATGTAAGTTGTAATAAAAAATGACATTAATTTTGCATCAATATGCAAAATACAAACAAAACGTAAAATATTTGGTTAATGTCCATTAATCTAAAAGTAGATTCAATAGTTTACTCTTTTATTCTATCATTCCTATATTTCCCCTACTTTTTTCATCCCTTCTCCTTTTTCCCTCTAACACTAGATAGGAGAGAAAGCAGGATAGAGGAGAAAAAAGAAAGAGAGAAAGAAACCCTGAATCTAACCTGTTTTAAATTTTTCCTCCCTTAGCAAGACCATTAACAACTTATGACCAATCCCACCCTCCCTAAAATGTCAGTGAACATGCATCACCCACTGAATGATTGAAAACAACCCACCCCATTTTTTTTTTGGAATGGGCTGTCCTTCTGTTAAAGTTGATTCTGATGTGTGGTAGTAATATTCTTTTTGGGAAGCCCTAAAATATGTAATATTGGATAGTTTTAAGAAAGCTATCTGTAACATTTATTGTCCAATCTCTGTATGATGTGAAGGTGCAGGGCTTAATGAAGTCCTTTCTCGAACAATCTCAGAGTCTGGATCAACTGGAAACAGCTGCTTTGAAG